TGGATTTTTTTTTCACATTCTGTCTCTCACAGTTGAAGTGTACCTCTGGTGCAAATTACTGACCTCTGTCATCATTTTAAGTGGGGGAACTTGCACAATCAGTGGCTGACTAAATACTTTTTTGCCCCACTGTATGTCAGATATCCAAAGTGAAGCCCTATATGTCTTCCTCTGAAAGATTTTGAAAAACATATTAATGCATTTATCACCACTAGACTGGACTACTGCAACTTTCTCTACTTGGGCCTCCAACACTCTTCTCTCTGTCGTTTGCAGTTAGTTCAAAATGCTGCTGCACGCCTTTTAACTGGTACTAATATGATCACATCATTCCACTTTTAGCTAACTTGCATTCGCTCCCTGTCAAATATATATTTTAAAATTCCCTTGCTCACTTTAAAAACTTTTAAGCAACTTGGCACCTAGCTATCTAACTGAACTCCTACTTGTAAACCTCCCAAAGAGCACTAAGATCTTCTAACCAGATGCTCTTAGTACAACCAAGGTCTTGACTGAAGTCCAGAGGTGATCGTGCCTTTACCACTGCAGCACCAGACTCTGAAATAACCTTCCTGTTGATATTTGTTCTTCAAGTCTATTTGGTCTTTTAAATCACGTCTTAAAACTCACTTTTTTATTTTGGCTTTTGAATCAAACTAGTTGACTATCATCTGGCTTGCTTTATATGTTTGTCACCTGTGTTGTTTGTTGGTATGTTTTGTTTGTTAATGCTTTGTCTTTATCTTTAATTCGCTTTTTTTCTGACTGTGAAGCACTTTGGTCAACACTGTTGTTGTTAAAATTTTGACTTGATTTTGATTTGATTCTATTTAATTTTGATTAATTGTGATTAACTGAAACATCTGAGGCTTTGGGACAGCCAAAATGATATTATTAAGATGATTAAAATGAGTGTCAATGCAGCTGGGACTGATAAACGGAAGATAGATAACTGCACAAGGGCGTAGATTTGGCATGGATGGAAGAGACATGTCCCCACCAATATCCAGCAATTATTGAATTGTCTCCACCAATAATTTGATCTCTTCCAGTAAAGAAAAACAAACTCGATAGAAAGGAAAAACAAAACAAAACGATCTGTCAACGTCTCATTCACCCAGCAGTGCAGAAAGAGTTAAATTACGTTTTCTACTGGAGTCCTACCTCATGTGACAAATATGGCCAATGTGATTGGCTGTGCCTTTCAGGGAGCTCTATTTAGTTTTAGCAGCGGCAAGCCTGCACTGCGAGGAAGAGAGGAGGATGGCAGCAAAAAGGAAGAACCTGGATATAAGAAATTATTTTTCAAAGAAACCTGTAAGTCACCTAAAGTCAAGCTCTAAAATGTGTCCGTCATAATAACGTTACAGGTTATACTAGGCTTTGGCCCACATCAGTCTAAAATTGTATGTAACCATGAATAACGTGTTGCCATGTCCACCAGGAGAGACTGGACTGTATAGATATAAAACAAACATGCCAGCAGTATATCTCAGTTAACGAGAGGAGCAGGCATGTGTTTGGCTCCACATAGTGGACATTGAGTTGTTGTGTGGGGCACCAGTAGTCCATGTCTGTTGCTGTAACAGTAGTTCATGTTTAGAATAAAACATCCCAGCTCACTGATCTGATCGGGGCCAGTAGTGCCTAAAATGTTGCATAATTTTGCTGAGAGATCTTTTACTTTGTGGTAATCTTAGATGAGTAGTTTTATGGACAAAACCCACCAGGTCATTCAGTGTTCCCTTAGTGCTAATGTATAAGAGATGTTGGTGTAGTATAACTGAAGTGATGTTGTTAAGTCCTTAAAGTCATATTCTTTTATTGTCATGACTGTATTTGAAGGTGTTTTTATTTTTGTATGATACCTGATTTATATGGAATATGGCTGAAGTAAACTAAAGTCTAAAATACTTAGTCAGTCATTTGTTTAATAGTAATTTAACATTATATAATTCACATATAAAACTATGAATTGTAATTTTAAATGGTTTAAAAGCATGTAGAATAGCATATGTAGGCAAGTATATTTCTCCTTTTTCTATCAAGAAGCAAAAACAAAAAGGAAAAAAAAGAAACAGGGTGGTTGAATCATCTGTCCTCACCAATGCCAAAACCAAATCTACGTCCTTGTAACTGCATGTCATTTATATTAGCTATGGTCCATTTTACTATGTTCTGGCTGAAACCAGTAGACCAGGGACTTGAGACTTAAAAACCAGTTATAATGGAGAATTGAAGAACATGCTGTTTAACAGGTATAATTGTGATTATAGTGAGTAGATTAATTCTACCACTACTCCTACGGTTACATTCTAAAATATCATCTTCTTTTTAAATTAAACAGGGATTCTACAACAAACCTCTGTTCAGATATACAGAACAATATTTTTCTTTCTGGGTATTCTTTATGTGTGGTTGGAACCAAGAACTGCTGTGGCAGAAGTCCAGAAACTGTAGAAACAAACTCTTATATCAGTGATATATTTTGCATTTTTTCTTTTAACGCTAATCTGAACAGTGTCAAGCTGTTTTTACTTGCAGCTTCAGACAGTTTGCTATCAGAGCATCGCTGATACTCCCATCTGAGAGTAAAAATGTTATTATGTCATATAGCAGTTGTCATTTTATACAATTCCTCATATAGAACTTTACCTTCTGAGCTAAAACAAAAATATTTTCTATATGATATCAGTAATGTTCAACATCAAGTTATTTAATCAGTTTGTTTGTTTGTTTAAATACATGAGAAAAAACACAGTGAGGAAGTTATAGTGGGATCAACAGTTTTCCTTGTTTGAATTAGGACATAGCCAAAGGTGGTCAAAGATCAGGATCATGTGACCTCACAGATCAAATGCAGGAAATCCCGGGTTAGCCATTTTCACAGGAGAATAAAATATTAAACTGAGAACATTTCATTTTCAAATGACGGTCTGTTGCTGTCATCCTTCAAATGTTTTGGTGTTATTTGGAAAATACGACATGCTTTGTACACTGCCAACATCTCAGTGAAATAACACACTTCAGGTCTAACAAACTGTCATTGTCAGATGCATAACAATCAATAAAGTTGAAACATTTACTTTTGCTTTTTAGCAAACACGTACACACAGCAGCTAAATACAAATATATGACCATGCACCAATTTACAGCAAGTATAGCAGCCTGTTCACAGTGATCATTATCCGTACTTTATTTATTGATTGGTGTTTTTAACATGTCTTTAAACTATGGAATAAACTGAAGCAGCTGGAGGAAAGTCATACAGAGAATGAAGTGAAGAACTCTTTGCAGGACAGTCAACTTTGTGGATTTAGTCTCTCAGACTGCTCAGAGCCATCGTCAGGAGCTAGAAGATAAAAAATACACAGTTTACAAATATTTTATCCTTTTCAAGGAAATGATTTGTAGTGATTGTTGTTTTCTATTTGAATACATGACCCAAGTGATACAAGTGAGAGATCAGTGTTATTCAAGTGAGCAGAATATGTATCATGAAAATGATGTAGAACATTTAGCTGAAACAAACCAAAATAAAACATATCAGTTGTCATTTGTTTTATTTTTCTTAATTGCACAGATATCTTGTGTCCATTTCCTTTTTAATTTACTTGATTATTTTCTTCTCACGTCATCCTTCTCAGGGACTGTGATCATCTCGGTGTGGCTAATTACTTTAGAATTTATGTGTTTGTATCCAAACTGATCTGGGAGAAAGATTTCGGAGATGAATTCAAAAACTAAACTTAATATTTCCCACATTGAGATTTCTCACCTTTCTTCTTTTTGTAAGCTACAAATGCCACACCTGTGATGATGGTGACAGTTAGAACAACCACTGCAGCACTGATGAAGGTCACAGTGTCAGCTGGCTTCTCTGTTGAACAACACATGGTAGCATTTTATAATATTAAACAGAAAACGGTGCCGATACCAAGGAATGAATGAGGAATGACCTGATATGTGTCATAAGTGACAAAAAACTATTACTACTCAGTCAATACAGATTACTCAAATATTAGTTTTAGTAATCTTCTTGTGATGCATCATCTTGCATATGGTACTTAAGGGTTAGGGTTAGTTAACTAAAAAATAAATGTTTTGTTAACAACTTCATAACATGAAGCTGCAGTTTTATAAACCCTGCTGGATCCAGTCTTACCCCAGTTGGTCCTGATCATTGTTTTGTCCAGTTTGGTTACGATGTGTTCTTTCACAGCAGAGAGCTGAAACACACAGTCGTACCTCTCCCAGTCTTCAGGTGTGAATGATGAAAGTTTCAGATCAATACTCATCTGGAAGGTCTCATCATTGTTGGGGAGGATCTCTCCGGGATCTACACCTTCATGAAGCTCCTCTCCATCTTTCCTCCAGAACATCAAACCTCTGTCAGGATAGAAACCTGTAGCGTGGCAGCTGATTGGAGAGAAGGGAGTCTTCTGGAGGAGAGACACTGAGGGAAGAACTGGAGAGAGATTGGCAGCTGTTACATTATTTATTTTCTTTCATTTTAACTACAAAGCAAGAAACACACAAATTTTCTATTTTATTATGTTTTATTAGATTATGTAATTCTACTTGTTTTCTGCAGAAATCTCCTCCCATATCGCAAATACTCCTTTAAAAACTCAGGGCACTGATCACCAAAAAACTTTTTATTTTCTTCTACTCGAACTTTTTGAGCATCCCATTTCATTTTGGTGATGGCAGCCTGTGGTTTTGCAGTGATCCATGTCAGTGTCTGCAGGTCCAATGCTAGAAAATCTTCTCCATCATAACCATACTGATTAAACCCATTAATCTCTCCAGTCTCATCATCCCATTCACAGCCATCCAACTTTTGCAAAATATGAACACCTGAAAAGAGAGATAGTAACAGTAACAGTGATTAAACCAGTAACATGTCAGCACACCTTATATCTTAAACTACACATTTATCAAAAATTATTAATACGAATGGAAATATAAAGGCTTTTTCAAAATATAAAAAAATAAAACAATTTAAAACAAACCATTTCAGCAGTAACAAGTGAAACAAATCCATACCTTCAGTTTGGTTTAATTGTTGCCTCAAAGTCTCAATGGTAGCCTTCAAGAAGTGATGTCTATCCACAGATTGTAATATACACCACTCCAGGTGCTGGGGATGATCCTCAAAGAATTTAATCCAGTCTTTCTTTAGGTCTGCTCCTCTTACACTGTTGAAGTCACCTATAGGAACTTCATCAACAAATGCAACAACCACATACTCCGGGATGCTCTGAGCTCCAGGGGTTTCAGTGAAGAAATACTTCAAGGAGTGTTTTACTGTAAAATTAGGAAGACTTTGAATTAGGAGGCATTCCTATTATATAGGGTTAAATATGAACTAGAAATTGTTTTAGATTTAGCAGTCTTTAAAAGTTTTAGGGTGAAAATACACTGAAAATCTACTCACTGATGAAATACTTGTAGCCAAACTTAAATTTCTACTAATAACTCTTATGTAACTCTTTATTCCTACTACTCCAACCATACATTGCAGTACAAAGAAAATCATACCACATTCTAAAATCCACATCTATACCAAAAGTACATTCACATATAATATTAATATGTCTCCTACATAGACTGACTGTGACATTTCAGGGGTGCACACATCTTCCTTTCACCATCAGTCACCTTAAGTGTCACGGCTGTGGCAGCAGTCGTGTGGTGATTGTGAGTAAAGATGCAGACACAGGCTGTGATGTGAGTGAGCTTTTATTCCGAGAGGTGAAAACACAAACAAAAGCAGGGACAGAACTAAGAAAACCTAAGCTGGGAAAAATCTAACAAACAAAACCCGAAACCACACTCGCTGAATATCACGCAGGGAGAAACACATGTGGAGGAACACAGGATATGATGAGCAGGGATGACATGGAGAAACACCAAGTAACACAGATGGACCGACAATGAGCAAAGGCAACTACACACTAAGTATACACACACAAGGTAACGAGGAAATGGTACACAGGAGGAAGACACAGCTGAATCTAATTAGACTAGACCTGGAGGAAGCAGATCAGAAAGCATGAACCTAGAACCAGAAACACTAGACATCACACGGAGAACCAAAACCCTAACTCTTGCCCAGAATACAAAATCAGAATAAAGTAGAACATAAGATCATAAACACAAAACACTGGGTCAACTGACCCATGCAGGACCATTAGGAAAAGAACAGAATGCTTTTATTGTTATTGCACTAACATACAGCTGCTGTCATAATGAAACTCCTGTCAGTGTAAGATAAAAAGAAAAAAATAGAAGATACAAGATCAAGTAATTTTCAGGTAGAATAAGTTAATTCTTACGAAGTGTAAATAAATCAAAGTATCCTCAATACTTAATTTTTACAGCTCCTATTGAAAGTTCAGTTGTGTATATGTCAGTTAGAGGAGCCAGCTGTGTGGGTATAATGTTCTGTTCTGATTTAAAAACACTCTGTCGTGCGTTCCTGTTAGCTAGAGTGCTGTTAAAAACACCAAGGCAAGGCAAGGCAAGGCAAGTTTATTTGTATAGCACAATTCAACAACAAGGTGATTCAAAGTGCTTTACAGAGACATTAGAAACAAGAACAAATAAAAAGCATGATTTAAAATTAATTAAAACAAGCAAATAAACTAACTAACTAATTAA